CAATCATATTAGGAATCGATGATTATTACAATCATTTCTGATGATGATGGGTTCATACCGCAAGCATGTATATACAATTACAATATTGATGAAGTAGATCTGCAAACAGTAGCTAGTATCAGCGATTTGAGAATAATATTTCACAAAGAACTCACATTCAATGATCATATCAACAATATCTGCAATAAGTCTCTCAGAATGGTGGGTTCTATAAAGAGGCGAGCTAGAAATATATCAGATCAGGATGCAAGAATTTCATTGTTGAACCTTCAAACTTTAGAGGATAGACAAATTATTGCTATGTCAAACTTTCCTTTCAAAATTGTAAATGGTATTATGAACTGTCCAGGAATATTGAAACAATTATCATTTCACACTTTCTTCGTAAAAACACACCGTACTTATTATGGTCGTACTGCTCTCTATTGAAGAACTACAATCTTCACTTACTACCCATCAATAAATATATATTCGATATGTTCCTAATCAAGTATTCATGAAGCAACTCAAATCCCACTTCACTAATACTACCTAAGAGTCTGAAAAAGTATTTACTGTATCCTTTTGTTCAATATGTTCCTATATTTTTATCTCGTGTTATTATATATATTCTTGTACATATATATTTCAGTTTTCACTCGTTTTTGATGTCGTGTTTGTTTGCTGGTTACTTTAGTCATAGATCTCTATACTGTACCATTTGGATTTTTTATCGAATTCTGTAGTGTACTTGAATGAATGAATAAAAAATGAGAACAAAAAAATCAATTTTCAGATACATCTATACTTATATACATCTACATTATTTATAATGTTTCCAGGAAAACTATGGCGAAACTTCAATGCATGATGAGAACATATACCTATTTATGGAATAATTACTGTTTATTGATCCATGAGAAATATTTCATAGATTATCGAACTATTTGATGAGAAGATAACTGAGGGTATGAATATTCTGGAATATTGCCACGAGTAGAACATACGGTATATTAGTAATTCCGAACCATGAGGGTTTCATAAACATAAGGTTAATCACTCGGTTAATCATATCAATTGTTGACATTGAACTATGAAAACTGACCAAGAAACTCTCGCATGAGAAATGTGCAAGTATAATGAAATGATGTATCTAAATATTGGATGTGAGGGTTGTGAAGTTAGTCTGGTCTGGGGCTACTCTGACAAGATCTCGTCGATCCCACGATAAAATAGATGGTCAGTTCTTCCATATCGATTCATAAGGGGCATAGATTAAGTGGTTATGCTTGGCTTGATAGTTTGCGAGAGGTAATATTCGAATTGGCACTAATTCATGGGTAACTGAGAGTACACTGAGGAAGATTGTGCTATTAGAGTTTCTGCTGAGATATTCCTTGCTACACAGTAAAAAAAATAGAGTGAAATTCAACACTATACCTGTTTCCAGGAAGACCACTAAGCTTTAGAGTGAATGATTTAACTCTATAGTTTAGTATATTATAGTGTGATTTTTTCAATTCAATTAGTGTAAATTTTCAATTCAAGCACATTGAAACTTACTCTATTTATTTCTCTAAATATATTGAATTAACACAAAAATAGAGTTGGAAGAAACAATTACGAGAGTGAATATTCTACTCAAGACCCAAGCTAGTGTCAATATCATCACTCTAGAGTGAAATTCAATAACCGAATATAACATAGTCACAAAAGTTTAGAGTTGTAATACAATAGTAGAGAGTAGAATCCACACTATGAACAGTGTCGGATCCACCGGAAATTGATTGAATTATTTACTCTACGGATGTCAAATTGCTCCTGCATTTTTCAAATTAACACTACTAATTGTTCAGGTGCTAATAAGGAGTTATCATTTATTCATCATTTTAGATTGATATAGTACACTAGTTGAGTAAACTAGTCACTACTTCCTGTTGGGATTTAATCCAAGTTGAATTAACCATTCTTCCACATGTCACAGTATTTATAGGCCCCCGACAGACGTTCAGCGGCGAAGTCTCCGCAGCGCCATCTTTATGCAGTGGCGAGAATTGACGGATGAGAAGTAGTGTGACTTTATAATATTTTAATCGTTCGATATTTGAAAAATGACTCGGGTCCCACTAGACTAGATAGTTAACCTATATCTGTTTCATAAATCGTTCGAAATAATAATTCGAAAGGGAAAAGAGAGATAGGTATACGGAAATACGTTCATAACTCAATGTTGAAAAAAAATTCTCACTACGCGGGTATAGTAAAAAAGCTACTTGAGGCTAATATCATGATCATTATATCTTCGACACTATAATCTGTATTCCTTATTTCACTATCTAGTAGACTGAACATCTGAAACTGTATAGATTGATATTTCATCGTATATAGATTGAATTGAACAATGATAGAGTGTCAATTCAATCGACAACAGAGGAATATTCAAGTTCACTAGTGTCAGTAAACACTAGTATGAATTCAATTTCAATTGTTTGTGAATTGAGTTATCTGAATTGATATTTTATTGAAATTTCAGGAATATAGAGTGAATTCAATACGAGAATAGTGAAAATTCAATCTAGAATTAGTTTCGAAGGAGATACTCTGCGAGAAGTGTAGTAATAGAGTTGATTGCAGTATTAGAGTGAGTTTTTCAGAGTATTTCAACTCTAAAAACATACTCTACGGATTTCACTCGAAGCGGTTTTTTACTGTGTACCATTACAAGAAATCATATTACCGTAATACATTTTCGAATAGAAGCAGCACCTTCAAATCCTTCGATAGCAATAACGACTTTGCTGAAAGTGAATTTCCTGCCACAGGAAGGTATACTGCTGTAGCTATCAGGCAGCCAATCTGGGACAGCATGATTTTCTCTATATAATTGTCTAGCTGAACTACTACTAGTGAGTTATATGCTTGTGAATGCGAGGTTCATCGCATAGAACTGCACTCACTTCCAATAATACAACTGTCAGTCTGTCAAAATAATATTTGACGAACCAACTTGGGGTTATTTAGCACCTACTCATCGTTATTCGATATTTCGCTGATTTGTCCCCCTCTATGTAAACATTTGTCAGACATCTTGCTTTATCCATCATTCACAGTAAGGCTCTTGATGCAAACTCATGTACAATACGACAATCTCGACGACACGATAGTTACGAATACTTCCCCTCTTGAATTCAATTCATTATTCAAAATCTGAATCTGAATTCGAATATAAAATGGGAACATTTTCAAACAAATTAGAAAATCTTGTGTGTCCCTTTCAGTGCTTTCGTAGATCTGAGTGATTCAGTTATTATACCAGGATTGATGGAATGATGAAGGTGCGTTTTTTCGAGGTTTTTCGTCTGAAATTCAAATATCTTACATTCAATAACATTTTCCTCTCTTTGGTATCATGAAACTTCAAAATGGTCAAATATGTTTCAGAGCTCCTCTATAGAATCTGGTCTAATAACTTATTGTGAACAAAAATGTCCATAGGTGATGAAATTATTTGAATGATTTTACTGGTAACATTTTGTTTTCATGTACGCATCTGTAATAACTTGCCTAGTTTTCGAAATACAATGATCCCTGAAGGTTTCAGAAAAATTCTTTTTTTCATCAATTACTCAAAAAACCCTTTGGTTTTTTCTGAGGGTGCATGAATCAATTGATCTATTGAATTTCAAAGGTCATTGGTCCGAAATTTTCTTTAGGAATTAATAAATTGCTATTCATATCAAACATCAGGGTGGAAATTATGGGAAGTGAAAGTGGATATCAGTCAAAATTTCACCTTTTTTGATGACAACAATCCTGGAAAATAACTGAATAAATATACAGTAGAAAGGTCATGCAACCATCTATATGATCACCCATCAAGAGAAGCAAAGTTCCCTACCTACGATTATGACATTGCCCTACTCCCATTATTAGATGCACTCACTAGCGGTAGCAAAGTCAGATACCTACTACAGAAACATCGTCTAATAGATTCATACAGATGCACTCGCTAATGACAGCAAGGTTCTATATCTAAAAATCGCAGGTGGGTTATAATCAGCAAAGTCGACTTTATAATCACAGGTGATAACTCGCTTGTCCCTATTAGAGTTTCTTGTTGGGGTAATTCGATTTCTGACTATGGTTGATAGAAATTTTCCTCAGTGTACGATACTATATTCAAACATAACAATATTTATTGAAGCATGAAACATTATGGGTAGGGATGTAGAATATGAATGAACGAATATAAAGACCTAACAACGACTTACATTATGATGGCCACTACGACGAACTCTTGTCAAGTCAAGAGTAGCCCCAGACAAGACTAACTTCAGAACCCTCACATCCAATATTAATACACATCATTTTATCATCAGACTTGCACTTTCCTCATGAGAGTTCCTTGGTCAATTTTCATAGTCCAATGTCAACGAATGATTTGATTAACTTTATGTTTATAAATCCCTCATGGTTCGGAATTACTAATATACCGTATGTTCTACTATCCGATGAATATTCTTGTCAAATATCTATAGAATATTCAGAAATTTTACAATTTTCAAGGATCAGAGATTATTCAAAAAATAATATAGAAATTAGACGAATATTCTTGGGATGTCCATATTGAAATGATATTCAAGTTTCAATTATTCAATCTTTGAAAGTAATTCATGAGGACTCAAAGCAGAGTGATGTAGTTTATATAATTATGAAAACCCAAAGGCATCTCTAGAACTTTTATTCATAATTATCAGAGATCAATCATGAATTAATATAATCAAATATTCATATCTCTACAAAAAAAACCGACGTGCTTCGTGAACTTATTCAATATTCAGAAGATTGACCTAGGACAATTGAAAAAAAATATATCAAAATTTCAAAATCATAGAATTCCTTTTTCAACAAAGTACTGTTCATCTGAAATAGTTTACTAACTGACAGAATAAATCGTATAAAAATATTTTTCTTTCTATGAAATCAGCTATTGCGTTTCAACTGTTGATATATAAACTCACCTGAATCAATTCAACGAATAACAAGAATAACACCGAACACGCGACAACATCATACAACAAATTTCCCGTGAAAATTCCACAGCAAACACACCTGTAGCGCACTGAAAACACCACGCGACGTCGTCAGATGGCACCGATTCGAGCGTCCCGGCGCTGCTAGATCTGATAGCCGCACGCGTCGAACTGGTGCGGAAATCTGGAAAACTTTGCCAGGCGCTCGAAGAGCCGGAAAACCTGGAAAACGCGCATACGCGGGAAAATCATGACCCTCCGGATTCTCTACATAGGGTAATTATGGAAGAGATGGACCACCTTTTTTATTTCACTCATAAGTTCCTCAAATATAACTCAACTGAAATGAAACAATATTCATTGCAAATCTTTCAATCTACTTAAATTCTAACGATTCTCAAAAACTCAGGAGATGAACAGGTTATTTCGACAAAAATGAAAATCAAAAGTCATATAATGGTCCAACTTACCCTGATTGTATGGTTTAGTTGAACCATCTAATCGGGATAGTTGAACTACCAGGGAAAAATGAACCAAATCTTTAGCTGCAATAACCTGTCCTGGCTTGTTATTGAGTTGGAATCCTGTTTCATCAATATTGAAAATATTGCCAGGTCTTTCAAAAAGCTGATTAGTGGTCAGTATCGTTCCTAACAGCACGAAGTAATCATTCACTGTGTCTCGATTTACTGAAACACCTTCTGCAATTCCTATGCTAAGATCTTGAAAACTTCGAAAGCATTGAAAAAGGTGTAACCAGGCATATCCTGCCATTTTGTTGACTGTCTTAAAACGATGCTTCAACTCCAATTGTTCAGCAAGAGCAAATGCCATATACCACATATCCTTCCGTGTTGGGGCGAACCCAAATTTCTGTAGCTTTTTGATGTGTGCTACCAATTTCGCCTCATTTTCTTCTTCTAGCGTGGAAGACGGGCCCAATGACCCTTTTTTTCAGTTTGCCAGATTTCTTGCTTCTCAGTAAAGTAGCTTCTGGTAGATTGAAGAGTTTCTGCAGTATTCACCCCCATTGTATTAGCATCTATGGCTTGTATGGCATTCTTTAAGTCTTTATCGGTCCAGGAAGCCCTTTTTGATCTCACTTTCCTTTGATATTTTGTAGGCATTCTGAAAAAATACTGCTCAAAACTGGTTCAACTCCCACGATTTGATATGGTCTATTAATCAAGACACTTCGTGGAGTCAGTTCAAAGAAGGATAATCTACACCTTTTGTTGATGAAATATAATATGAGAGAGCCCACTGACGAGATGATTCTACGAAATTGTAGAGTCAAGAAAATCGTTGCACTCGTGCTAAATGTTCTCAAGAATGTTGATATTAATTTTTCAGCAATTTTCATTTCTATTATATTTTTTCACCAACAACAAATAAAACTTGGTAACTTTTATTATATGCTCGATACAATTTGAGTTCTCTAGACTCTCTAATTTGTAGAAAACTATATTATTTTCATAGAAGGAATAGTAGCGCGTTTTATCGTATCCGAAATTTGAAGCATTCATCAATTTATGTTCGATTTTCTTTTATCCTATCAATGTATCCGCATATTTAGGTTCAGTGATCGTCAATCGATACCCTCTGTCACTAGATAAAAAAGGAATAAACACTGTCTCGTAGACGTCGTCTGTTGGTAAAATTACTGCCGCTCCAACATGAATACCTGCATACAACATTACAACAATGTACTTTTTTTCTGTGACGGGAAAAAAGTTTGGCATTTCATCTCTGTTGGCAGGTTATAAAATGTCACTTTTCATAAATTACTTTTTTCCCGTGGGAAAAAAGTGAGTACTTTTTTCCCGGATATATATCACATATATATACTCTGTTGATGGCTTTTGTTGTGCTATAGTTCCGAAAAATGAGTCAATAATACCGTCTCCGAGAAAACAGGTTCTCAACATTAACCTGAAATTAACTTAACATCAACTCAACATCAACTCAACATTAACCCAAAAGGTATCGGACCTCCCCTGTAAATTCTGTAAATTAACCTAACATTGACTTAACATCAACTTAACATTAACTCAATAATTATTCAACATTAACTAACACTTCACATTAATCACTAAATTGCCAATACAATGACATTGATTCAACTTTCAATTGAAATTAGCTGGATTCCAACTTTTCATCAACTTAACATTACGTCAACATTAACGACAATAACTCATGTTGAAACGACACTAACTTTCCATTAACTTGACCATAACTTAACTCACCATAATTCAGAATAATAATCATTCATTGGTACATCATAATCTATAGACCCTGTTACTGTGCAATTTTCGAATATTTCCACCCATGTGAGTTTCACTTTGTAACTGTTATATGTTGTCATAGTGAAACGAGTCACTTTCTCAATAACAAATTAATGTGTTTTGTGCTGTTTTCATAGGTGGTCGTAGGAAAAAACTGATATCGGTGCCTGTTGATGAATTTACATGACAAACCCAATGGTAAAAACTGCATATCGATATCTATCTTCCTTTCAGAGTTACAAGGTGTTTTTCGAAAATTTGAATTTTTGATAAGTGGCTTAAACAATTTTTTTTTCTGAAATTCTCCATTTTTATAAGCACATTTCCAAAACATTGTGTTTATCATGAAAATTGATCCTCATCAGGCACTGAAATCAGTCACCATATACCTAGTTTCCAAATAGAACTTTTCCTTCAAGAAGAACAAGTTATATTCTCGAACAAGATAGGGGATGTTTGATTCCAGTTCCCCAGGAATGATTTTTATCACGAACTCAATGCTTTGCAGTTATTTTATATGTGAGCAAGCAATATAAACGTAGTGATTCATCAGTATAATGTATTTATTTACTACTGAATCGATAAAGAAACTCTGTATGCACAATTTCGAGTGATTTTGTGATATAAATCATAATAGTATGGAATGTTCTGAAAACAAGACGAAGAAGCCGGTTTACTGATCAAGGTATCAGAAACCTCAATAAGTTTCACCATTGTTGAAGGAAGCGAAATAGGAGCCATGAACCTTCGATCCATGAACTTATAGTTAGAAAGTACATTGCACTACGACCAGAAGGATGGAAAAAAACGTAGGTTTTTGTCAACCTACAAAGGATACAAATGCATTGATTCACCTGTAGATGAAACGTCGTCAACGCTTCTTGTTCAAGGTGGTCCTTCCTTTGGAACACTAAAATTACATGGAAAATGGGAGAGTACCAAACCGAATGCACATTAATGAGCTTATCAGAGGTAAACTAACAAATCCTCAATCTCAGTACTAGTTTTAGTATAGTATAGGAACATTTGAGAATTGTAATTTCCATTCGATAGAAAATTATTATTCCCTTCTTAAGTACAGTCATGAATAGGACTTTTCAGAGTAATTGATTTATTGAACTTCATAAAAAACAATTAGCGGGCGTTATGATTCATAATGCCCTCCATAACGCCCAAGGGCACTATGGGTCTGTCAAAGTATCATAAAGCAGTAATGGACAAGTGAAGAATAAAATAATTTTATGAATAACCCGATGGTCTGCCTGCTGTATGTACATTGTTGATGTATTTCAATTTTGTTCTAAGTATAGGGAACGACTCTTTGAGGATAGTATCATATTCAAATAAAATCGTATATAGGTGGATTTATATTTCATGATGTTTTCAACTCAGAACCAAATAATGGGCTTGATAATTTGATATCATAAACGAAAAGAACAATTGCATGCAGGATATATATTCGAGAAGTTGTAAGATACAAATGTAACTAGTCAACCTCTGAGAATACTGGGTGACACAGGATATCAGGCCACTTATATAACATCTGTATTCGTGAACGGATTTATCTGTTTCCCAGTTCAACAGGTTGAAATGAGTGCGATATTGATGGCAAATGTCATTTTTTCGAAAATGTCAAATTCCAAATTGATATTTCATTATACCTCGTGGATGAATGAGATTTGGTCAGAGCTATATTAATTTTTCAGAATTTTTTTTGTGACATCGATGATATGTCACTTTTCATAAATTACTTTTTTCCCGTGGGAAAAAAGTGAGTACTTTTTTCCCGGATATATATCACATATATATACTCTGTTGATGGCTTTTGTTGTGCTATAGTTCCGAAAAATGAGTCAATAATACCGTCTCCGAGAAAGAACTGCAAGTCCTTTTATCTTCCATTAGACTTCGCGGTTTCGTATATTACTAAACAACAACTGAATTCACAATTTTTTAAAATCAAATCACAGAATTGAACTGACAGAAGTGACATCAGATATTTGATTACTTCAAAAGAATGATAAAGATGTCTATAAAACGCAGGTGTCCCTACTGTTAAAAACTTGAAATTTCACGTCGATAATTTTCAGATTTCGAAATAATGTAATATCTTCTCAATATTGATTCATCCTTCCTTCTGTCACAGAAAAAAATAGTGTATTATACACGGGAAAAATATTAGATTTTAGCTCACGGTTTTTTGTCTCCCTCCGCTACGCGTCAACACAACCTGGAGCTAAAATCTACTACTTTTTTCCCTTGTATAATAAATAACTATTTATTCCATTACTTCGCTAGTATCACAACTTTCGTCATTATATTACTGCACCAATCTGTTCAAAGCCCTGGGGCATGAGTGGAGAGTAGCGGGAAGCAGCACGACGCAGAGGATTCATTCAGCTGTTGATGAAGTGTTATTTGATGAAAATAAGGAAATTTCAAACTCTTTGAGGTTCTATTAACAAGTTAACTTCACATCAGATGCTTTAGATTTCCGTCATCGTGATTGTGAAATTAGGAAGGAACTGTGACGTCACATCACAATTGAACGAGAGTCAACCTTATATATCCAAGAGCCTGAAAAAAAAAATGTGATAACGGTTATCAACAATTGGATTACCTCCATAAAAAATTGTAATTGAATAGGGGACAGCCTAGCTGTCTTATTAATGCTATTCAATTCAATTTGCTATGACCAGAATAACAGTTACTAGAAAATTTGATAAAGTATGACTCGAAGGCTACACCGTGGACAAATTACGGTCATTCATCAATGTGTGTTACTATAATCAAAGAGTACATTCGCTATTATTCTCGGGAACCTATAACAGATATAAAACCTCTGTATCCAAATAAATTATGACTCCAGTTATTTCAAGTGGATAATCGAATGATTTTTCATCAAATAATTATCCAGATCAGAAAATATTCTATTTGAAACATTCAACATCCATTTGAAAAGGTTATCATTCACCGA